ATTTTCACAATAGACATTTATACACCATTCGATAGAGAATTTCAAGGGCTACATTTTACACTATTTATATTTGATATACGAATTATTTGAATTTTCGGCCTAATGTCCGCTTGGATGCCCACTGTGCGGAAGCTTCTGTTATGGGGGAGGGGGGGTACAAACGATGATAACATGATACAGATGTTGACGCTACGTACAATAATCATATCTTTAACGATTTGAATAAATTTTTAAAACAAACAAAAGTAGAAGTAAAACATTTTTAGGTCTTTTTCATGCGTTGTTTCAAAAGTAAAGTATTCATACCAAAATAAGGCGTCTTACACATTTTCCTGATGTTTCATTTCGGAAATACACCTGTTCTACAAAAAAAAATCTAGTGAGTTATTAAATTTTTAAGTATCGGTTATTAAAAGAGTTTTTCCGATATAAAGCGAGGCCCAGAAGTCCTGTCTCATTCAATATTTTCTCTCGGTCAGGGTTGATCGTCAAGTCTCAATGTTTTTTCCAAAAAAAAACCCTTTTTCAATTCTCTACACAAAACATATTGAACATTTCTTTATATACTATAAGTATAAGAATAAAAAGATATAGAGGAAATACCGGAAAACCTTCAATATCGATTGCTACTGTGATTTGGTTCAAGCCATACATTATGACTTTAGATCTGGTTTATCTTAAAGCAAAATAATTCTTCTGTTACATCCGAACAGAGAAAGTCGCATAGCTCCGTTTCATTCCCTGTGCCAGAATGAAGAAATTAAGTTTTCCCTTTTTGTTTTACTTTTAGTAAAATCTTCGTTCGTGGCAAAAAAAAGGTTTGTAGCGAACTCATGTTATAAGAAAAGAAAACTGACATTCTGGAGCACTAGAAAATACATTTCGATTCCACTCTGATACACAGCACTGTTTTCAAAATAAATATTTTTTGGTTGCGCTTTGGGTTTGATAGCAATCGATATTGAAGCTTTTCCATATTTCCTCTATATCTTTTTATTCTTATTCTTATAGTATATAAAGAAATGTTCAATATGTTTTGTGTAGAGAGTTGAATGAGACTTTTTGTAAGGAAAAAACATTGTTAGTTAGTTAATAATACCAATACCCAGAGGGTGTATGGTGAAGATCACAAAAATAAGGTTATGATAAAACTACAAAATTGTTCAATTCGGTGGCTGATGAAAGTTCGCTTGTGGTAGGTCATATACCACTAAAAGTCAGGTTCAGACTAACACCTCCGAGCTACTAAAACTCGGTTTAAGTGGCACTCGTCCTAAACTTGAAAAATTGGACTTTGAGACTTGGTGATCAACCCTGACCGAGATATTGAGAAAATATTGAATAAAACAGGACTTCTGGGCCCTTCTTTATTCATATTTTTGTGCAAATCATTCTGATCCATCTCACATTTCACTAATTTTGCTTTTTCACTGAGAAAAATTCATTTTTTCTAATCAGAAGCGAAAAAATCGTCCAGTTCTCTATTTTTTCCACCAGAACTCAATTTTTATGCAATAAAAGTATTATATTTTTTGAACTGAGTCGACCGATGTACATTTTTTATTCTAACTGACTACTTTAGTTTTTTTGAATTTTCACGTCGAAATATTACTGAAAATAAATCTTTATTTGAAGACACGAGACAATCAAAATGGAATATACGGTTCGATCAATACATCAGTTCTATCAGGAATTATAAACGATTTTTTTAAATTTTAGTAGTTTTGTGAACGAATTTTTAAATCCAGTTTTTTCACTCGATAAAGTGTACTCTGAAGAATCGCCATTGGATAGATTTCGGTCTGAGAGCAAAGATTTTTAAGTGGTATATCTGCTTCAAGCAAATTTTCCTGATGATCATAAATCTGATATTTATTTCGTATGAAAGCATATAACAGCAAGGAAATGACTGATCATACTCTCGAACTGAGCATAAAATCACTAAAAATTAGTTTTTTGTTTTTAGTTATGGTTTAAACTGACTCTTCATATTTCTTGTGTATTTGACCCGTATTTTTCATGACATTAGTTTGGTCATCATTGAATGAATAAGATAAATGCAGATTGAATTTATGTAGTTATCAACAGTGAAAAGCAAAAGAAAGCAAGCATAAATGATACAAAAGGAATGAACAAAAAATATGCAGTAAAAAGCGGAAAATATAACTGATCCTTGAATGCAGTTCATTTTTGTTGAGGAACGTTCGCAATTTTTAAAAAATCTCACGAGGAAACCTTTTCCCAAGTGTCCAATCACTTTTTTCTTAAAACATACACGATTGTAGATAATCTTTAATGCTGATCATGAATCTGACATCCGTTTTTGCTGCTAGGTCTTTCTAAGATGGGTCTTTGGAGTCCGAATGTCCGCTATGAACTTCCAGTTGAACACATTTTGGCACTGTCAGATTATACAGTACGTTGAATTACCTATGTGGGAAAACGTTCAGAATCAACAAACAAGTTTTCACAGAGATAGAAAAATTTTACTTTCTAATCCGGTAGCGATCCATAATATTTCAGGTTTTCAGTCTCTGCGAAAACTTGTTTGATGTTTCTTAACGTTTTCCCACATAGGTAATTCAACGTACTGTACAATCTGACAGTGCCAAAATGTGTTCAACTGGAAGTTCATACTGGATCTTCGAACACCCGGATTCCAGAGACCCACCTCAGAAAGGTCTGACAGCAGAAACGGATATCAGATTCATGATCAGCATCAAAGATTATCCACAATTGTGTATGTTTTAAGAAAAAATCGATCGGACACTTGAGAGGAGGGCCTCGTCAAACTTTTTCATTTTTCTTAATTATGTAATTGTTTTTAATTCATCAGATTGTGTAAAATAATTGCAAAATTTTTTTAGCAGTCTAATAATTTCTTTTCGAATATTAACGGCAACAATCAGATAGAGATAAAAGTTAATTGAATGATTAATGTACGATATTAGTGCTGTTATTTCAAATATATGTTCTCCACTTTTGAGTGCTGCTTGATAAACGACCATAAAACAATAGGGAAAGAGTAAAAAAAGAAACATTGTGGATATAGCTAACATTGAAATGGTTAATTGAATTTCATAACCCTGTGTTCTGGATGATTGAAGTTTAAATGCAGATAAATTCCGTCGAAGTGTACGAATTTTATGTATTATTATTGTGTTACAAATGATCATCGTTGTAAACGGTAAAACAGTATATACAAATAAATCGATAATAGTATATGATAATGAAAAAGATATTTGTCCTCGACACTGTTTTGCACTATTAATTCGAAGTAGAAAATGAGGAAAATTGACGACAACTAACAACAAAGTTACAGTGATAATAACACAAGCAATAAATTTTGTTTTACGAATAGTGTATTTCAATTTGCCAGTACAGACAATTGAAATACATCGATCAACCGATATCACAGCTAATATCCATGCTGCTTTTTGAGAGGAATAGCCAGTAAAGAATCCGTCAGCTATACATAGAAAATTGTTAATAGAACGAACGTCTAATTTGTACGTAATCCATATAATACGACGAATCGAGGGAAGTAATAGGGCAACTTCATCGGCAAGTGCCAAAGAGAAAAAATAGATATAACACGTATTTTGTCGCAAATTTTTTTGAAAAAATAAGATAACAGTCAAAACATTACCAATACTTCCAATAATCAATAATACAATTAAATAGGGAACTGTCCATGATGGAAATGGTCGTGTATTTATCAAACTGCTATTTGTCACATTTAATTGTATCATGTCACAAAGCTAACTTTACCCTATGTTGTTTTCATTACTTTGCTACATAAAATACAGTAATAAATAGTGGCGTGTGATCATTAACAGCTGGATATGTGAACGAATAATGCGTCATACGATACGCCATTATCAAGTGATTACCAGACGATTTCAATACATATTTCATTTAGTGATAACACTAGCATTTTATTATAAAAATTAAAAAAACCGCAAATAAAACTATCTGATTAAAATGTGACATAAAATGAAAAATGAAACATTGAATCTTTCTTTCTTGCTACTGTGTGTCCGATGAAACAGTGCACTCGGTCATATTTTGAATAAGTCAAGAACAATGATAGATAGAAGGTTCTGGTTTTCGCCATTTGAAAGAGGAGACTTAACCCCACATTCTCTTGACAGAAAACGACTTGAAAATATTTTTTTCAACTGTAGGAGATCTTTGGAAAAATAGATCATAGCTCAAAAACTTGAAGTTCACAGAAAATACTTGAAAATTCACAGAAAATACTTTGGTTTTAGAAAAGGTTTTCCAGAAATTTTTAGAAGTAAAAGAATATTTTTTACTATTCTCAAGTAAATAATCGCATTGAACTGATAAACTAGAGTACATCTTGGTATTCTGACATAGTCTGGAGGGGTCTTGACGAATTTTCAATTTTAGACAAAAATAGGCAAAATTGAGTTATTTCACCTGATATAGGTTTCCACTAGGCTTCTGAAACTTTTTTAAAAAGTAAATGTTGCCACGAGATTCAGCGTGATCAATTACATATGTTTCCATTCGTTTTGCGAATTATCACACCTATAGAAATATTGATCTTAGGGTTCTCTTGACCAGTGGCTCTTGATACCACGCCTAAACGACAAAAAATCAAGAGCTTGCTTGACTCCCATTTTAAACACATCACTTTGGACCCAAGGAAAAATACAAAAACATTCGCACTTCAAGTTTTTGAGCTATGATCTATTTTTCCAAAGATCTCCTACAGTTGAAAAAAATATTTTCAAGTCGTTTTCTGTCAAGAGAATGTGGGGTTAAATCTCCTCTTTCAAATGGCGAAAACCAGAACCTTCTATCTATCATTGTTCTTGACTTATTCAAAATATGACCGAGTGTACTGTTTCATCAGACACACAGTAGAACCATTTGACTATCCTAACCGACACTGCGAAAAAAAAGTGCCCTTTGATGAAGTTTAGGGCACATGAAAGTTCCCTAGGTGCGCCACAGTCAACGTGATCACAAAAAGCAGGGCATTTTCATGTGCCCTATATCTCACCAGAGAGCACTTTTTTTTCGCAGTGCAGTAAATGACAAAAATGGAAACAACAATCTGCTCGAGCATATACGAATAGAAATTTAACAATTAGTAGAATAAATATGATATCACCCTAGTTAAATGGAAGTTTTGACACTCTTTATAATTGCACTGCTAAAAGTCTTTGATTAAAACCTTTTGTTAGTAATATAAGAGCAGTGAAATACAGTAGTCTCAGTATGATAACTATTGCCCTTATAATCACATGTTAACTAAATCCCTTTACAGATTATCGATGTGAATATTTCCATTTGATAAAACACGTTTTTTTCTAGAAACTGAAAAAAATGCGTTGACAAGAAGAAGGAATAGCACGACTTTTTCTAAAAAAAATGTTCGATGAGACATTTAGTTGTCCCAAAGAACATGATGTAAATCGTACAAATAGCAATGAATACCAGTAAACAATATTTTTTAAACAACACATAGAGAATGATTTAAAAACGGATTAAATATAAAAGAGAAACAATAGACGACTGGTATCGTTCAACTGAATTTATCCAAGCAAAAACCGTCTATTAATATAAATATGAAATAATAAACTGATAAACGAGTAGTTTTTATTGTTCGAATGACAGACTAGTAATCTTGCTATGATATGCAATGTTTTATATTGTTTCCAAGTGTCTGCATGCTGATTTGAAAAAATAGATAACACTATTTACGATAAAAAAAGACAATTGATATATTTAATAGTTTTATATATCTCGAACATAATCCAACATCGTACTAATAGAGACAAAGTATAAATAAAGCTTTATAGACAGAAGAATATAAATTGTTAACATATAATGTTTGAACGAATAACAGAACATAAGGATAGAACAAATATACAAAATAATAATAGCATTCAGTTCAACAGATAATTGAAGAATGAACGAGATAATTGTTTATAATTAACATTTATTGATAGTAATAAGTTTAGATGTTGAATGTATAGAATGTTCAAATGACGATAATTCCCAAACTCATAAACGACAGATAAAAATGTGACATAATCTTGAGGCGACTTACTAACTATATTGTTCATAAATGGCTGCTTCGTATGATGCATGAATAGAATTCAATTGTTCAATGGTTAAAAAATAATGATAAAAGACATGTTTATAGATAAAACAAAATTTTCATAGGTCCAATCATGTACTTACAATAAAGTAGCCTACTAACAGAAAATATTTACTTATGTAATAGGGCAAATGACTTCTCTATCTTACTCTTCCGAGCTATTAGGTTTTACTTGAACATTATGCCCAAAATAGCAAAAGAGAAAAATGAACACAGATAATATTTTAAGCGATACTATAACATTGTTCGAAAATTTTAGAAACGGAGAAGTCACATAAGTTGTATATTTCTTTTATTAGGTTATAATACTCTAAGATTAAAATATAAATTCAGACAGATTCAATCAATTGTACTTTAACCAAAGATGGGGAATCCGATTCTATTATAACTGTCTATTTAGGACAGAAAACGTTTTTGATTTTTGCCGACTGAATATTATAGAAATTACTCGTGTCTTAACGAATTCATAATTTTATTATGCTATTAAAAACAAAGTGCACCACAAGCAACATTATGTCACCAGCTCCAATTTGTCAAACATTCAAAAAATGAGTCAGTCTATTTTGACTTAATTAATTAATTAAATTTCGAAGTTTAGTGTATTGAGTTCAAGTTTTTGATATCATAGGTTGCCTTTAATTATATCATCGAAATGAGCCAAAAATTGGGTATAATCCATATGCCACAAAAGGAAACGGATGTTAAGATCTTGGCGGTTGAATCGCGTAACTCTGCTACCGGAGTGTGAGTGCGTACTCTTTTTGTTTTTGTTACGATATTTGAAAGGAACATTGTAGAAATTTGAGAGACGTCTTATTTTGTAGCTGAAAGTGTGCTTTTCAAAATCCACCCTGGGAACAACTCGGTTCACTTAATCCTATTTGCGCCATGATCAAAATATCAGCATCTTCACAAAAAAATAGACTTTCATTTTCAGCGTACTGCATTTTAGTTACAGCGTAAATCCGATTGAGCGAACCGAGTTGATCCAAAGGGCAGATTTTGAAAAGCACACTTTTAGCTACAAAACAAGACGTCTCTCAAATTTCTACAATGTTCCTTTCAAATAAACAAAAAGGGTAAAAAAGGCAACGCACTCACACTTCGGTAGTAGAGTTACGCGATTCAACCGTTGGTATCATCATTTAAATTATGAAATATTCAATCTATTATCGCAGAATTGGATACAAATAAATAAACGGTTTTATCACCATAGAAATAGTAAGACCCAATTAATACTACAAGACGTTGGAAAATTTAGTCAACAATTTAAAACTTTTTTGAAAATGAGATGGCCCATGAGAATATTACTGGAATGTAATTCTGTTGGTATACAAGTATATGAGATGACCGATAAACTTGGCTGATTACTAACGATTGAATGGAAAGATAGAACATAGTTTAAGTCATCAGGTTTATCGACTTGTAAATCATCATCAAGAAATAGTACAAAACGCTTTAAGAATACTATTGTCTTTGAACAGTTAGGTGACATGTTACGAGTTAAGGGAGATATAATTAAAAATGAACGTCAAAATATCGAACGAGGTGATGGTTGACAACTGGATAGATTGATAACGATGTATAATTCTAAAGTAAAAAATGAAACCTACCGTAGTGAGTCGCCATAAAAAAGCGAGACTATGCGTTAATTTGTCAGAATCATCCAAAGGCGACTATAAATGATTGACATTATTATATAAGTCTTGTAGAGTAAAGATTTCTCTACAAAATGAGATGTCCCTCTCTCCACTATGTTTTCTGATAGAGTTATAATCATTTTGGACGTTATATCACAAATGTGACTTTTTCAAAGGCTTCCAACAAAATGATCATAACTCTGTCAGAAAACATAGTGGAGAGGGAGACATCTCATTTTGTAGAGAAATCTTTACTCTACAAGAATGACTGTTTGAAAAGTTTGTCAAGTATTGAATGGAAGAGAAAAAATGTTCGAAAGTAAAAAAATAGGGTTTTTCAGCGTAGAGTAACAAACTTTAAAAAGTTCGTATCTCCTCAGTGAAAGGCCCTGGAGAGTTGTGAGCGCTATTATTTTGTAGAGGACACTTTACTCTATAATGTACAATATTTAACTCAATAATAAAATAAATTTTTAAAAAAGTCTAAAAAGAGTTATGTTTAATTTTCTCTGACGGTGCACATTAGGATTCGACAATATATAAACTACTAGATAGAGCAAGTCTTCCTCTACAAGCTCATATATATCCCGTTTTGGGATCAAACATCACCCTGAAACTTATGGTCGCCTTTAGTATTGGATATTCTTTAATCTTTTATCCAAGAAATCGACTGTTCAGTTCAGCCATCATACCGCTATTAAACGTCAGTAATCATCCTTAATGAAATTCTTGCCAATATCATGAAGAAAAGTTTATTCTCATGATATCATAATTTAGAAAAACAATAAATATATATACTTTCAGTTAAACGGCCACAAACAAATACGAAATACACAATGAAAACAAAAAAATGAGAAAAAACAAATATAAATATGCATTTTTTACAAAAAAACACTTAAACTGTTGCATTGATAACTGTGTTATTAAAAAGTTAGGCGCATGCTTATAAAATTTTATTGATTAATCCAGTCAATTAAATGAGATAAATAAATATTAAAAAAAGTCAATATTTCACAACAGAAAAAGCACGAGAAAATATTGAAAAGTACAAAACACTAGTCTATTATTTGCAAAAACATTCTTTTTATAAAAGAAAAAGGTATATAAAAAAACACGACAATGTGCCAAAAACGGGCAATAATTTTTTTTTGACTACAATTCATATTGAATAAGAATTGATTGAGATAAAAAAAAAATGGAAGCAGCAAAAACTAGATATAATCGTTAGTAAATATAAAACAACAACAATAGCAGTACAAAAAAAAGTATCTGAACACGTATGTGTTATTTTATTCAAAGGCACATACGGGCAAAAAAAGCAGTAGATTCATTTGGTGTATTAGCACTCAGTTCTAGAATATTTTTTATACGTAGGAATCGCGTTGTCGAAGAAAACAAAATAATCCAAGTGCCGAGACAATACTAAAACCCTAAAATAAATAAAATACTAGCACTAAACATTTTATCTAATGAGAGTACGTTTACTTACCTCAACAAAAACGAGAACAAAAGCTAATATTCCAATAATCATTAAATTTCGATTGATTTCTAATTGAATCATATTAAAACATCCCTAAATAACAATAGTGAATAAAATTCCATGTATAGTGAGAAGAAATAAGATAAATCGATCTTACTTCTGTATAGATGAGACCGTATGTTTCATTATAAACAATTTGCTTTCCACAACTAACTTTTTCTTCAATACAGCATGAATCTGGTACGTATGTCTGACCGGCCCAGACATCGGTTGTAAACCAGTCACGGTATTCATCAATGCCACAACAATGTAACTAAAATATGAAGAAACAAATTTAAGAGACAAAATCAAATACGATTGGAAATGAGAATGAATACATCTTTTTTAGTTATGTTAGGAAAATCTGCATTTTATGATAGACTAAGAAAATACACTATCAGATATTGTAAAGATTTTCAACAAGTCGATGACTATTAAGACATCTTTCTCAAGAACTATTGCCTACCATCTGACTTTGAAAAGGCATAAATCATTAAAATGACATACTCGTTTTTGTATAGCATTCATTGTTTTTCGAAAATTATGTGGATCGTGTCCTTCTTCTCCCGGATATTTTCGAATACTCAATAATAATTCTTTACGAGCAGCCACGGAAACCTATTCAAGAAAATATAAGAGTACAAAGTTTCTAAATAAATAGAAGATGACTTTACTTTTTCACTAAAAGCAATAATAAACACGACGCCAATAAGTAATGCAACAAATAAGATGATCATAGTAATCACATACTTAAAAAAAAAGTACAAAATTTAATTTGACATTCAAGGATGAAATAATTGATGCTGCCTCTTACCACAAGAAGTAAAGTTTTCTTTTCAAACCAAGCACCCACACAACCAATAGAGCCAAGTATTACTGAGAGTTTAGCTAGAAAAATAATAAAAAGGATTGTAATTCTTTAAACTGCAAAACTCATAACAAGAAAACTGATTAATACCTGACACGATTAACACCATCGGTGCTGTAAAAATTCGATTTCCCATAAACGGTCGATACTCAATCGATGCAAAATGTATCCAAACACTCACACTTAACACGGAAAGTCCAAATACCTAAAATAGATTATAAATCCCATGATTTTATAACGAACAATAGATTAGAAGACAGCAGCAACTTACAAAAAAACAAATATTAATGACAGTAAATAAACATCGAAATATCATGTAAGTTGAAGACATTGCTGCTGATGATGACGAACAATAAATAAAAGAATTATAATAAGAAAATTTTATTGGATTGTCTAAAAAAATTCCAGAGAAATTTATAGACTCATCATCTCTTTGATAAACATGAGTTAAACAGTTCGTTTTGAGTAATCTATATAAGCAACATTTTCTTTGTTTTCTCATAAAATTAGTAGCAAGAGAACTTTCGACTTACTACTTCTTTCTTTACAAATCTAGTGAGAGTTTATAATCTATATCGAGATTACGGTAGCCAGTGGTTGAAAGAGATTGAACACTACTAAAGTGTTATCTCATTTTAATATAAATAGTCAGTTTGATTTAATATAAATAGTCAGATTTAGAAGTATTCATAGGTGCGTTTCATTATTATCCAATTGAACATCATATGTGTATCAGATAGGATATTAGTCTCTGATCGTGCACTATAAAAAAGGAAATAATAGTTCACATATTGTAGTCTAAATTTTTATATGAAGACTCTAGAAAAACATCATAAACGAACAGCATCCCTAACTTTCTTTCAAAGAAAGCATAATTTTGATATAGTTGATTTTTATCCTATTTTGGATATCATTAGATTTATAGCGGTTAATGATATCATGATTATCTGCTACACTTAAACAAAAAAGATATGTCTAAAACATATCCATCATTGACTATGGACGTTTTTCTTGCTTATCCTCGGATTTCAAATCTTCTAAATCGAATTAAAAATTATTCTATAGGAAAGAGGACGAAAAAAATTCTTTACGGTTCGGTCACGTAACTGTCCTACCGCAGTGTGATTCCGCCACGGTTTTTCTGTATTTTGTTTCTTTTACAGTTTTCGAACCAAAATACTTGTATTTTGGCAATATTTCCTAAACAAAAGAACATTCAGAGTGTGGGAAAATCTCAAAATATTGAGCACACTTTTGTCTTCAATCTATGATGTTCTGAAGCTCTGGAAGCACTTTTTGGTTCGACAACTGCAAGAGAAACAAAATACAGAAAAGTTGTGACGGAATCACACTGTGGTAGCACAGTTACGTGACCAAGCCGTAAAGAATATTTTTGGTCATCTTTCCTACTTTAAGTTACTATTATCACTATTTTTTCATATGATCATGTCGTTTTTTCGTTTGAAAATACGAGTACTTACCGGGTGTCCCAAAAAGTTTGCGACATTTTTTATTTTGTATATATCTCAGTACAGAAAAATAATAAAATCTTCAAATTTTTCTTAAAAGATGCGCCGTTCAATTCTCTACAAACTTCTGTTTACCTCAATTTAAAAAAAGTTCAGTTGTAGAACTAGACGTTATTATAGGTCGCATAGTGTGATGATATGAATTGCATCTACTTCCCACACGTTTTTACTATGGGTTTTTTCGTTTTTTTTCAAGTTATACACAGACATCTAAAAAACGAATTATTTGTAATACGATTGAATCCAAAATGCTCTTATTTGTAAGCATCTGGTCATAATCTACTTGGGCCTAGTAACAATAGCCTGCCTGAGCTGCTACAACAAAAAGTGTTATGGTTCTTCGTCCAACTGAATCGCTTTTATCACATGCTACTTGAGCTCCAAGTAGAAAAAGAAATCTGTTTTCTACAAAATACTCCAAATATAAACTCGCTTTGGCTGTATGTGACATTTCTAGGATGCTTTTTTGAAAATGAGCACGTAACCAAGACGTCGCCATACTCAAAATATGACTTTGCAGAAAGTACCACCTAACCGGAAGAATGAGCATTATACAACTTCGTATTTATGCACAATCAACAGAGGCTTTCAAGAGCTATCTATCAGTGAGTTATGTTTTAAAAACTAAATATTCGTTTGTATAGAATAAATAAATAGCGTAACGATCGCGGGAAGGTGACTCCCCTCCTGCTTTTGAAAATGTTTGCTTTTTTCGCAGCAAAAGATGATAAATCTTCGTTTCCTGCGTAGTACCAGTAATTTTTTTTTCGAATTTTTTAAGAGGAACACAACATTATCTAACAGAAAAATTTTAAGTCACCCCTCCCTGCTTTTGAGTCCTCGCTACGCCCCTGTACCGTGAAGGTATAAGTGATTAATTCTGAATATTATCAAAATGGTCTACACTACGCCATTAATCATCTGGAGGTACAGAACTAAGAAACTGTTTCTGAGGCCTCAGAATTATCCTAACCTAATGTTTGATTGGAATAGCAGGACTCATCCTATAAAATTATTGATAGATGATGTATTAACTTTGAAATGAGATAGTAAGAGGTTTAAAGTTGTCATGCAAACTAACTTCTGACATGTCACCGTTCGGTTCACACAAACGAGATTGATCAATAATGAATGATCAGATTACCTTTGAACTTTGAAACCCTACTTTTTTTTGCAGATGAATACATTATAAATGGTGAGTGAACAATTCATGAAGTATCTCACTGACTAATGAGTAACGGATCCCAGCCCGTTGTTTAAACTGATTTAACTAACAGAGCTGACACATAGTCAGGATCTATGAATTATTAGTTTATTACACGACTGTACTTGATGGAGTCCTGTGGTTATAATGCACCGCTACTATACCGTTGTTCGCTCAAATACCAGCAGAAAATGGCTTCGCTTAGAATCACAGAAGTTATGGATAGTTTCTAGGTTAAAACCGACACGTTTAGACTGTACAAGAGTGCGATAAAATGACGTTTCAACCTGCCATGTAAATGAGGCTTTACTTCCAGTGAAGTCGTCAAAATCAATGTCAAAAAATGATTAGTCATGTGGAACCATTATAATATCTATAATGCCTTCATGAAAATCCGCTGACACTTTTACTCAGACTGTCAAATGTTTGTTGGCACCACAAGATTTGTATGTGTACTCTCTAATATAAAAGAGCAAAAGTAAATCATCTGAAGTGCCGTATTATATAACCCTCCGCCATCTTTAGGCCCTTGGCGTTTTTAACGTACACTCCGTTCAGAAGTTCTACAATCCATTGTAGGAGTGATATTATAGCCAACATAGATTATATTATGTGCGTAACAGTTTATAGAAAACTAGTGCGCAAAATATATAGTAGTACCAGAGAAAAATCAAAGTCTAACAGTTGATGAAAACGAGTCCATGTTGAATTCAAAAGCATTATCACCAGAACAAAAAAATAAAGTTGGTTTTGAGTTGCTGAACAGTGGTTTTTCGTATCTAGCACACTCGATAACGTAGAAGATTTTCTATTCTTGGCAAGAGGTACCTCCAAAAGTTTAGAAAAGGTTTTCAAACTAATATTATTTTCCCACGGAACCTTTTTTGCGTCATTTTGTTTCAAAATTTTTACTAAACTTTTGGAAGTACCTCTCGCCAAGAATAGAAAATCTTCTGGGTTATCGAGTGTGCGGAATACGAAAAAGTACTTTTCAGCAACTCAAATTCAACTTTATTCGCAACTTTATTTTTTTGTTTCGGTAATATGCCACAAGTAAAGTTTTTGAATTCAACATGGATCAGCAGCGTAACCAGGATTTTTTGACCAATGGACAAACTTCTATTGTGTCGGAAAAAACGATGGGCAAAATGGACAAGGTTTTTATTGATGGACACACAGCATGGACGGGTGGGGACAGATCTTTTTGTGTATAGCTAGGATCCCGCGTCTTGCAGAAACTTGAATGAAATGAAATGAGGTACTTTTAATCAAATATGCATCAAGCTCAAATCTTAAACCTAAGTCAGGTACGTTTTGGATTTTAACAAGCAATGAGTGCATGTGAGATTCAGACGGAAGAAAAAATTACATTTATTATCTAATTCAAAAATAAACAAATAATTCTGAAAAAGTAAAATTTCAATGGGCAAATGTCCAAATGAAATGACCCATTTGCCACACACACACCCCCCTTGGTTACGCCGCTGACATGGATAGATAAGGGGTGGAGTATGCAATTCACTTCTTGTTGTCAATAATTGGACTACAGCTACTCCGTCAGTATTCGCTTGCGGTTGTGTCTGAGCATAAGACACTAATAGTGCTTCCATTAAGTTATTTTGTAGTGTTACTTGCGTTGCATTGTACATATTCCAAAATGTACGACTACGTCTATATAATCAGTTAACCATGTGCCAACCATATTGCCTTGAGCGAATCATATTGTTGTTCCCGACAAATTAATGACGTTGAGAGATATGCTGAATACATTGTTTACTTCTATTTGTTGTACAAGGTTATTGTTCAGTATGGTACTACCATCTAAACTAAAATAAGCAATACCCTGCGAATCTTGGTGCGTAACACTGAACACAAGTGGATCAAATTGAGATGTTGGCATAAAGGAGAAATTATTGGCTGAACGTTGTGCTAGTTTCCGAGCGATAAATCTTCTCAGATGTCACTTAATGCGTGCGTACTACTTTTTATTTTATACTACTTTTGCTAGACAATTATTTATCTTACTTTGAAAAAAGTAGACCTTTAAGACATTTCTAAACATCAAGTAAAAGTACAAAAAAGACCGAGAAGCTACAACTATTACTGTGACATTGATCGGCTTGCAACCCTAGTCTTACTATAATGATTCTCTCATTTACCGCAGAATTTTCCGTAGCTGTGTACCTTGTTTATTCCAGCGCATTGCTACTCCATGGGCTCACCTCTGCCTTTTGCTCGCTTGACATACCAGAACGGATAATTGTAAAAAAGAACTGAACTGCCTTAGTGCGGCACTTAATCCAACATAGAAACGATAAGTCATTGGACAGCAGTCCACATGCCAATTCTACGCACTAAATAAACTAACTTCTAGCTCATAGTTTATTAGACCAACTTTGACTGATTATGTTATTCCGATTATTGTTATACTGGAAATTATATTCGTTCAGTCACGTCCGGTTGGGTAATTGGAATTTTCTTTACTCAAATCCTTTCTTTAGTTAGAACTCTCTTATCTAAGTCTAATACTTGACTTCTTCCAGTAATAAAAACCTACGACATCTCTCGTGTGCATAAATGTGTTAAATCATCGGTTCGTGTATATGTAAAGGTTTTTAATAGGTAATCATGAAGCAAGACTCCTTTCATGGCTTTCGTATGTGGCAATCGTATATGATCGATCAAAAAATAAAGTAGTTCATCTATTGTCAGAGAATATAGTTTTTCATTTTTCTAAACTGTTGACAATACGTCTCACCAAAAATAGAAAATCTTGTAGGTTATCGAGTGTGTTGTATACGAAAAAACACTTTTTCACAATGCTACATGATTTTTATTTTTTTCTTGACGTAAATATCCTGCATAGAAAGCCTATTATTTTTTGAATGCATTAGCTAAATCATGTTAAAACTGGCATGGTCGATACGGTGTCTATACAAAAATCTAAACATAAAAAACGAAAAGTTCTTGGTTAATCATTAGTTTTCTCTTGAGCAAATTTTAGTAGACGATAAGAACTTTATACCATTTGTACTATTCCACATAGAGAGCGATCTTTTAGCAAATAGCAAGGATCCAGAAAGGAAAACCGATTTGGAAACCTTAACTTACGTCTAAATTTTCTGAATGTTTTAGTAAACAACCAACGGCGTTTTCAATACGATAAAGTATACTAAATAAGAGACTTTTTTCATTCAGTGTACGACTATAGTTTAAAAGATCAATTTATGTATTGTAAATTATAATTCAGTAATCGTATACTAAACATTTGTATTTTCACTCGTAGAGAAATAAGAATGCCTAAAAAAGGGAAAAAAGGCAAGGGGAAGAAGGGTGGTAAAGGAAAGAAGGGGTAAGCGATTCATTTAGTTTATTGATCATTTAATTATTTTTGTTAAATTTTTGTAGCAAAAAAGGAAAGAAAGATAAAGAAGAATCAGCCATCAAAATGGGTATCCGAAATTCAAATTTATGGGAAGCTCGTTTGAATATGATGGAATTATCACGAAAACAATATCGGTAATGGTGTGTCATATTGTTCAAACGAATGAAAAATAAATATCATTATTTTTAGTGAGAGTTCTAATATGCTTGCAAATGAAAATGAAACATTAAGAGATCAAATGAGACAAACCGAGAAAGATACAATTGATGTTGTCACATATTTGAAAAAACAAGATATTGATAAAGATTCAGAAGTAAGTTTTTTTTGCTTTACACTGTGAGAGAAAAAAACTTGTCAGCATCGCTTCTTTGGAGCGAAAACGTGAAAACTTCCTATCCCGTTAATATAACATTTATACAAATTGTCACAACTAATTTTATAGAAGTAGACACATTCATACACGTTTTTTATATCTAAATACTAAATAATACTCAAGAATTAAATATATAAAGCGGTTGTGTTAATAACAGAATGGACATTCAGTAATTACACACATCCGCAGCAGTGTAATAAACACGTTTTTGAGACGTTGTAAACAAAGGGAGGGGGGGGAAGCGATCATATCTCGAGTTTCAGTTCTCTTTTAAACCCCAAATTTCCATTTCTTTCGAAAACTGGACTAGTCCTTGGAAGTTTTCACATAATCTATGCTAAACTATTTTTAATTTAGAACGATCGTTTAGAACAAGAAGTTAAAAATCTTAAAATGCAACATCGAAAAGATAAAGACGAACTGGTAAATTTGATTATAACGGGTGGACCATAAAGAATTACACTACTTTATTTTCACTATAAGTCAGTCAGTTTTGATGCTATCGGTCAAATTTTATTTATAAAAGATTCGCCATTCAATACTCTACAAAATCATACCTAAACTATAATTTCAGAACTTCAATCAAGAAAACTAAGCCAATTAGATGAAAGTCGAAAAAAATGTAAACTTTAAAACTCAAAAATTATTTCGACTTGAACTTTTTCTTCTGCTACTATTTTC